CGGTGGTGCGTCGCCACAGCGTCGGGCATGATCTCCGGACACGCAGCCCACAGCGCCGTGCTGCTCTCAATGTCAGTGAACACAAGCGTCACGGGGTCTGTTGGCTCCTTCGGCGCATTCGCATTGTCACGCGCACTACGTTGGCGACACAGCAGCAACACAAGCACACCAACGAGCAGCAGAAGAATAACAATAGCACCAATAATGACAACCATCAGCTGCAGTAGTGTGAGACCATCGTTGCTGGGTTCCACATACTTCATAGATGGGTTAACGGGTGGAAACAGCTCCGGCACAGTGGGGTCCAGCGCACGAGACATCGACCACACAGAAATACGCGTTGCACCGTAATTCACACCACAGTCCCTNATACGCGTTGCACCGTAATTCACACCACAGTCCCTATCACCGACCATTCCATCTGTACCACAGTAAACATCATCATAAAATGATCCGTACACCATGTCATCCTGTGCAACCACAGCTGTCCTGTAGAAATAATTAGCTAACCCCGTACCAAATGCACCATGAACTCCGAAGAAAACAGTCTCCAGCACTCTTGTATTCGCAAATGCTTTTAACGACAAAGGAGTCCTCTGTTTCTTATCTGTCACAGCAGCGTGGAACTTTCGTACGGTATCGGACTCCGTCTTCTCATCGGCCCAGTGCGGCAGGTTCGTCGCAAACACAAGGCGGTCGGCACTCACCCCCCCACTCCCAGTGAACGCAGCAGTGAAGTCAGCGTACCGCAGAGACACCTCGGAGAACAGGACAAACACACGCACACCGCTGTGCTCCTGCAGGTGCTCCGCAATCACAGCGGCATCGCCATCCGCAAGGCCCACCACGAACACGTTGCCACTCGACGGCAGACGGCCCGCCAGCGAGTCGCCATCAGCCAGCAGCGCCGACGACTGCAGCGACCCGCCAAACGTCACCAGCGACCGCCGCAGCACATCCTCAACCGCAGCCGCCTCATCGCAGCGGATCACAGCGGCAGCAGAGGCATCACTCGTGCTCCCGAGGTACTGCGCAAGCACGAACAGCTCCTGCTCCACCGTGGGTGACAGGTGGATCACGTTCCTCCTGAACTTGTTCAGCCGAGGCTGTAAAAACACTGGATCAATAAAGGTCACATTCGGGACATCCAACATCGCCTCCGTGACGA